CATTTGCGATATCATGCATTCGAATAATATGAATAACTAAAATTCTTATGCAATTACGAGACTATGCATTTGACTAAAATGAATGACTCAAAACTCTTATGCATTTAACGAACTGAATGACTAAAAACCCTCCTAACAACCAGGCATCTCATTAGTTCGTTTTTTTTATCGATCACAATCGGCGACTGGCCGAGTTTGAAACAAGCATGACACACTTCATTTTGCGGTAATAAAAAGCACTTATTGTATCCCAAAGGCGAAAGTGTATGTATATACTGGTGGGTGAGGGCGTGTTGCGGGAGAGCTAATCTGGCTCTGTTTTAATTAAGTCTTCGGCGAGACTCTTTGACAAAGGAACTGGTTTGACAAGATTTTCTCTGTTTCCTTGAGTCTGTATGTGGGGAGCGATACGACCTCTCTGCTGTCTGTGCGAGCGGCAGCTGAGACTTTCTCCGCTGTGAGGTGAGCGGCGGCGCTCGTTCAGAAGACTTTGACTCTTTTTCTCCACGGCGGGATGACGAGTCGGTTTTGGTTGATGCTGGTCGATCCGGGTGTCGCTCGTTGTCGCTCGGTGGCGCACGGTGGCGCACGGTGGCGCTCGTTCAGCGATCTCCGCCTTTCCTGCGGGTTGTTCGCTGGTCGTCACTCTGACGAGGAGCGATGCTTCGTTCGTGGCAGGGTGGACGTTGGCGTCTTTGTTGGCTTCACTCGCAGCTCTGTGACTCAGGGTAGCGATTCTTCTCAGGTGGTGCAGACCTCGGCTTGTAGCTACGCGTCGCTACTCCGCGAACCTCATCATTCTGGATGACGAAAACTTCTTCGTTGTCGGCGTTGAGATGAGATGGGGCCCGTGGCCCGGACGATGTGTTGGAGCCGAAGCCCTGGCGACGAGATGGGGCTCAGAGCCCTGGCGATCTGCTGGTGGGGCCCGTGGCCCGGACGAGATGCTTTGAATGGATTTTCCTTCGGTTTATATCTGTAAATTCCACTCAGTTTCCCGAGTTGTTCAAAGGCTGTCATAAAACATCCCTGTGGGTGTGAACCATCTTGCGTTCGTGTGTGTGTGTGTTTCGCGTGCGTGTTTGTCCGTGTGTTTATTAGCTTTGAAGACACAGCTGTGTCGTTCTGGAAGACAGGGGTGGGGGTGGGGGCCTCGTGACGGCGCCACCGAAGTTATCCATTAGCCAGACCGATGATTCGCGTCGAGTTATAAAAAAAAACATTCGAATCCATGTTTTGTTACTGAATAATATTTGTCGCGAAAACCTACGCGTTAAGCGAGCTTAATTATTCCCTCCCTTGCTCGGGGATCACATCCTTTGTCTCACACAGCTTAAGTTGGTTTGGTTTGGAAGTTGAAATGCGACTTATTTGCTGCTTGGTTATGCCGAAACCGTGTTCACGATGTTTCATCGTGACCCGATCTCTCATGGAAATGTTATTTCCTCGCGTGTGCAATTTTTGCTGTCCATGTTGTGGGGAGACAAAGACGGTTGTTTCCACGGTGGGAGCACCCGGCGCATGCGCTTATTTATTCGAAGGCGTGTGTTAATTTCCTTTGAGCCATTGCCCCAACCTTTATGGGTGTCATTTCTTGGCTTGGTGCCTGTGTGTGGAGATCCTCTCGGAAAGACAAAGGCGGCCGTGTTGCTCGCTTGCCATGGGGTGTTGTGTTTGGTTAATTTTGAGAGCCTTCTCCGCCCTTGATTTCTCTTCTACTTTAATTCCGTACTTATTGTTTGACTTCTTGTGATTATTTAATCTGATATCCCGGCTAGGGATCTTTGTTCAGAATATAATTATCTCTTCCACCGTGGTGCCTGGTTTGAGGTTTTTTTAACAAAAGGATGTCCTGCTGACCCCCCCGCTTGCAATTCCCCCTCCCTTGTTCCTCTTGTGTGAAATTCGGGGAGTTTTATGACCTTGATTGCTCTCTTTCATGCCCTCTTTCCTTTGAAATGAGGTATGCGCGCGTCTGTGGAAGTGTGGGGGCGTGTTCGTTCCACGTTGCCCCGTGTCTATTAAAAAAAACGATTATATATGTTGGCAGAATAATTCTTAAAAAAAAAATAATATTAAAAAAATAAAAAGGGGGTACATACACAACAGGGCGGAGGTGTGTGCAGCGTTCGCCTGGAGCGGTCGGCATTTGCCGGGGTGGTCGGCATTCGCCTGAGGAAGGACGGATGGTCGATGTTCACCACAACCAAGGAGACTCTTGGAGAAGACCAGCGGCTCAGTGACCAAGACTGCAGCTGCTTTAAGTTGTTCACAGTGCTGTTGATGGTGCCAACCATTCCCGATACTGCTGTTGCTTTTGATTTGTTCGGAGCGCTATTGATGGAGCCAACCAAAACCCGAGACTCCAGATGTGTTGAGCTATTTAGAGCGCTGTTGATGTCCCCAACCAAGTCCTGAGATTGATGTTACGTACCTTGGACGTGTGCTGTGTTGTCTCATTGCCCACGAGTGGAGCATGCATGAGGGTTGGTACGAACGGTCGTCGCGTTCTTCTGTATTTGTTTTGTCGCCACGGTGTTTTGTGATTCTCAACACATGGGCTGCGCTGTGTTAAGGCTGCTGCTGTTGCCGAGAGTTTTGAAGAGTCAGTTGTACAGTGGTACCTCGGTATACGTCGTTAGTTCGTTCCAGAAGGTAGGACTTATACCGAAAATGACGTATACCAAACGAATTTTTCCCATAATAAATAAAGGGAAAGAAAATAATCCGTTGCAGAGTATAAGAAATGATATTTTATATGGCATATTATACATTAATGGGGTTGTATAAAAAATAATTTAGGCACTACTTATTACTAAAATGCATACATACATTCAAATAAATGCATAAATTAAAATAAATGGAAATACAAATAAAATGTAACGTCACTTTACCTTGCTGAGAGGAGTTGATAGCCTACGAGGATGGTGGTGAGGAAGGGGAGGAGGAGGAGATGTTATTTTTTGGAAGGAGAGTCCCCTGCTATTAAAACTTCGGGAAGCTGAAATTCGGGGTTTTTTTCTCCTTCTCTTATCTGTCTTTTTTCTTGACTTGGACCTGGTTGAGGCTCACCAGATTTGAGTTTTACAAAAAACCTGTCCATTGAAGTTTGTTTTTGCCTTCTTCTAAGAGTGTTCCTGAAGTGTGACATTGTCTGGTCATTCCACACAATACTGTTATGGCTTGTTAGAGCCGTAACAGTATTGTGTACGCGGGTACTGTACGCGGTGACTCATCCAAGTTCTAGCAAGTGCGTCGTATCCCAAGCAAGACGTCGTATCCCAAGACATTTTTTTCTCTCGTCAATACACGACATATACCAAATTCGACGTATTCCAAAGCAGTTGTATACCGAGGTATGACTGTACTTGGTTGTTAGGAAATAATTATCTGCCACAGTTGATTCGTATCCTTGTGCAAATGTTTCAATAGCGTATAACTAATCAAGGCATCGTTAATAAATTCAAAATCATAAGATTATCTGTATTCCTGATCGCGTTATTGTCCCTCTTTTTGTGGCCGTTTAAGCACGTTTAAAAGTCCGCATTGGTGCCCTATAATATTGAGAGAATGGCATGGGAGAGAAAATGGATCCTAAATCCTCTTCTATATTAATAAAAAAGAGGAACCCTCACAAAATGTGGCAGGGATATTAACATTTTTAAAAGTCGCTCCAGTGTAAATGTTCTGCGTATCTCTCCATCGGTGTATGTGTACCTGTGAGTGTGTGACTTTGTGTCTGGCAAAACAACCCCCTACCTCCTCGTTGGTGCTGGATGGCAACGCTGTGGTGAGTAGTGCCATGGGGGGAGAGCCAATTTAGATTGGCCATTCCCCTCATGGCATTTATAGCCACCACAGCGGCCAAATGGGGGCTCTGGATGGGTACGAGGGGCTGGTAACCCCTCCACCTTCGATACCACGGAAAAAAATATCTTAAAAAGCTTATGCCAGGGGCCCCGGGGGGATAGGCGTCTATGACGTCTCCTGGCCAAACCCCATTTGGCAGAGCCAGGGGACTGAATCCTTATCTTCGGGGTTTCTCCAGAAACGGAAAAAACCACTGCGGGTGGCCACGTGGAATGTTCGAATGCTCACTACAGAGGAGAGGTTGCCACTCCTCTGTTCCGAGCTGGACCGGTACCGCCTGGATCTCGTGGTATTCAGGAGGTCCGGTGGACAGTACTCTACTCGGGGCAGGAGAATGCCAAATAACAGGGAGTGTCTCTTCTGAACAAAAGAATGAAGGGGGCGTGGGAGCATGGCGGTGAGGTGTGAGAAGCTGTAAGCCCCAGGCTACTTTGGGCTCGCCTTCCCATCAACCAGAGGTGAGAAGTGGTGGTCGTAGTTACTTATGCCCCAACCGAAGATGAACATCCGTGGAGGGATGCAGGCAAGGCCGATGAGTCAGACACCTTCTATGACCTCCTGTCATAGGTGCTAGGCTGGGTCATGTAGCCCGTATGCCCAGCCACCGCATGCCTAAACAGCTTTTATTCGGCCGGATAGAGGGGGCTCAATGGGTGTGGCACGGGCTAGAGAAGAGATGGAGTGATGTGGTACAGGCGGACGCGGAGCTGAGTAGACTTTCCCATGACTGGTACCAGCAGTGTCAAGATCGGCCTCTGTGGAGGAGGCTCCTGAAGGACGCTACTGGGCAGTTGGAGGCAGTCGCCCTCCAGCAACAACGGAGGGCAGAGGAGTGACGCTCACAACAAGGAGTGGAGCGCCGAGTGGCTAAAGCACAGCAAGTTGGCACAATAGGGGGCACAGGTGGTGCATCGGTCAGTCATCTCAATCAGTCTACCCGTGGCACCTGCCAGCGGGCGTTCGACACTTCACGTGGCCTCACCGTGCACATAGCCTGGCACAAGCGCCGTGGTGACATCACCGCCACTTAGTGGTGAATGGCGGTTGTTGCGTGTATCTGAGTAACTAGATATCTGTGTGTGTATCCGTGTATCTCTGTCTTCATATACCTCTTGTATATCTCTGTGTAGAAGCCGGAGCGTGATGAGTGGGGACATATTTTGGAGGCCATGGAGACTGCTCTGCAGCTGCAGAAGAGCATCAACCAATCTCTCCTGGATGTACATGGGCAGGGTCGCGAGAAGAATGACCCACAGGTGAGTGCACAGAATCGCACACATAGACAAGACTTGGAGACTCCAACACGGAGACACACAGACAATGCTCGGACATGCACACAGATGCACACAGATGCATGCCTCGAGATGAGTCTCGACTTGTACAGATACTGGTGAATTTTCACCACAAGTCGTCACTTTAACACGTAGACTTTCGCGACCAATATTATTTATAACTAGCCTTTTGCCCGTCCAAGGAAGGGTGTATTGTAGTAAATCTGAAACTTGCAAGCGAAAAGCAGACCGCGACGTGATATTCATTGCATCCATTCGTGTGCAATTTGTAAGGGCGCGGTGACACAGACCTATTTCATTTTAAGGTTATAATCCCTTGTTCATCATGACGTCCTTTTTACTTTGATGTCTCAATAGCGTTGTGGACATCGCGTGATGTGAGGGTTCTGCCTTTGTAGTGAGGGTTGCAATTTTACGCCGAGGAGGGGGGAGGAGGCATCTAGGCCCCCCATGTGGAGTGACGTTAGCTGCTAATTATTATGAATGGGGGGGGGGGGTCCATTTGGAGGACGTCACCTGTTAATGATTATGAATGATGGGGACTGTTCGATGTGGAGTGACGTCACCTGCTCATGATTATTAATGAGGGGGGAGGGTGCTCCATGTGGAGTGATGTCACCTACTTATGATTATTAATGAGGGGGGGTCCATGTGGAGGACGTAGCCTGTTCATGATTATTAATGAGAGGGGCTGGTCGATGTGGAGTGACGTCACGAATGTTGCACATATATTCTTGGCTCATTATAGTTGGTAATAATAATGGGGGGGGGGGGGGGGGGTGGTGTCCATTTAGAGGACGTCACCTGCTCATGAATATTAATGAGGGGGGCTGGTCGATGTGGAGTGACGTCACGAGCATTTGTGGGGGCCGCTGGCCCCCGGGGTCCCTCCCGCCTGCATCCCCTATTCCGTTTAGGTTACCCCACCTCCCTATTACCCGCTACGGTTTCACCGGCATTCGAACGCGACGCCCCCACTGTTACAGTCTCGCGCCGCGCTCCCACGCTGCGAGCATACACGCGCACAGCATCATCAATCAAACGCCACACTCCCCCTCTTTACACCGCTACGTACAGCTCTCGTATACTGCGAGCGTGTGCCCGCCTATAGCCCTGTGCGGCACGTTACCAATGCGCATCCGTATCCGACACGTAACGAACGTATGAGCACTCCCACACACACGCCGCTCCGCGCACTCCAACTCCACTCACGTTATGATCGCGCACCTGTATCGCACCCGGGGTGGACGCACGCACACACACGCAGCTCCCCACGCGACACTCTGCACGACAAGATCACGCGAGACCACGCTTCGCTATTAATGATTTATTATATGCTACCTGCGAATTGATGTCAAATCAGTGAGTCGACGAGGCTGGCCTACGCTGATACCTCTATACCTATTCCCGATTTATCTGCTACGATACCCTACTTTACCTCCCCACTCACTGTTTGGTGCCCGCGGAGGTTCGCTGCTCTCTGCGCTAACAGCGTACCTCGATGCGTCGCACGGACGTCCGGGTCGCTGGCTGGAACTCCTGCTGGTCCGCTGGCCTGGAGAGAAGGGGCGATTTCCCCTCTCCGCTCCTCTATTTATCCTCCCTACCTCAAAGGGGATGCTGCGCTGAACAATGGGCTCGTGCACCCCAAGCCCGTGCACGGCGGTTCCCCGGGCGCTGTTGATATGCTAATCAGTGAGCGACGTTGGCGGCGTACATCCTAATTACTCCCTTACCCTTCCTAACAATGGGGCCTGCGCGCTCCAGCGCAATTATCCCAACCCCCCATGACTATGCGCAACAGCCCCTGTGACCCCGCTATTCATGCTGTCCCGTGCCTCCCCTGCTTGCCCCGTCGACCCGTGGGAGTGTGTGTGGGGGGAAAATGCGCCTCAACCGCGGTGGCCGAATGCCCCACGCCGCGACCACACCATATTAAGGCCGGCCGCGGCGCCGCGGTGCCACGTAGCACGGGGGGGTCATCCAATTCCCTGATCGCCGGAAACCGTGAGAATTAATCCCGATAAGGGTCTCTCGGATAAAAACCGGTCGATCAGGTGACCTTCCCTTCCAGCTCTATGGGGGGGGGAAATGCGTGCGGGGTGATGGGGGGCAGTGCGGTGGGGGAAGCCGGGCGGCTCCCTGGTTCGGCAGAGCGGCCCCGTCGTTGTGGCACCACATAGCCCCCCGGGGTGCCAGTCCCCGTCCCGGGTTGACTGGAGCACCTCGCCTGGGTTGCCCCCACGAGGTATCGCCGCGGGGTCCGCGGGATTCGCCCGGCCCTTGTGGCTGGCCTCGGGGGTGGCGGCTCCGTCTCCTGGGGCTCCGGCGGTGGTCTCCTCCTCCATTCCAACGGCTCCCCTCGGCCTCTGGCACCTGCGGGCTGGGGAACAAACTCAGAGGCGGTGGGGTTTAAGGGTCGCCGTCCTCGTCGCCCCCGGCCCCGCCCGGGGCCCCTCGGAGCCCGGGGCTCCGTGGGGCCCATGTACTGCGCGAGGCCCCCGGGCACGGGGGGTGGGGGGACCCCGGGGTTTCGGGGTACTTGGACGGCGGGGCTCCCCCCCTCGGGGGCTGCTCGCCACGGCTTCAGTCGGCGGATGTTGACCACCATCTCCCGGCCCCTCTCTCCTCCCTGAATCAGCACCGTCCATGGTGAGATCTGCCGTCTCACAATCCAGGGTCCTCGCCAGTAGGTGGTCAGCTTCCCCACCTGTCCGGCACCGACGCGGGGAGTGTACAGCCACACCTCGGAGCCCGCAGTGTAGAAGGGGGGCTCCATACGGGGTCGGGCGCCCTGCTCTTGCCGCTGGTGCGCGGCCTCTCCGTGCGGGTAGGCTCGGCCCCTGGCCCCTCGCAGGGTCTCCAGCAAGTGCTCCACGGGGTGGCTCCCTTCCTCCCGTTGCGGCGGAGGAACACCGAACAGCAGATCTGCGGGCAGGCGAGACTCGCGACCAAACATCATTAGGAACGGGGTCTGTCCTGTAGAGGTGTGAACGGCGGTGGTGTAGGCGAACAGGGCATAGGGAAGGTGTTCGTCCCAGTCCTGTTGATTCGCGGCCGCCATGCGTTTAAGCTTCCCGGCCAGAGTCTGGTTCATCCTCTCTACCATCCCGTTCGCCTGGGGGTGATACGCCGTGGTTCGGTCCTTCTGGATCCCGAACTCTCGGCACAGCGCCTGAAATAGTTCGGCCTCGAATTCACTACCCTGGTCGGTAATGACTCGTTCGGGGATCCCGCACTTAAGTACGTAGTTTTCCACGAAGGCCCGGGCCACTACGAGGGCTGTTTTATCCGGGATAGCCACCGCCACGGGGTAGCGGGTGAAGTATTCCACCGCTACGAGAATATATCGGTTGCCCCGGTGGGATCGTGGAAAGGGCCCCTGCAGGTCGATTCCGACCAACTGATTCGTCCGACTGACTCGGAACGGCCTCAGGGGTACCTGGTACCTTGCCGGCTTTTGCCCACACTGCTGACAGGCCCGGCAGCCCTGCACCCAGGCGGCCACATCTTGTGCCAATTTGGGCCAGAGATACTGGCGACGCAGGGTCTCTCGAGTGCGTCGTTCCCCATCGTGGCCCCCGAGTGGGTGGTCATGCACCAGCCGTAGCAGCTGGGGTCGCACCTGGGCAGGAACACAGATGCACCCCGGCTGGCCGGCCTCGGTTAACTCCCGTACCACTCCGTTCCGCACACACAACCGGGCATACAAACCGCTCCAGGGTCCTGGTAGGGCGCTCTTTTCCTCCCGCAGTGCCGCCTCCACTGCCGCCAGATCCGGATCTCGCTGCTGGGTCTGTCTCAGCTGCTCGTCGTTTAGGCCCGGGAAGGCGCAGCCGACGTCCTCCTGGATCCGTCCGATCGGGTCCCGAGCCGCGGGTCCCGCGCTTGCCGGGCGGTCGACGGGATCCTCAGTGCCACCTGTGAGGGTTTCTGTGGCGCACACTGCACTCTCTCTCGCTGGGGGGGGGTCAGTGGCCGCGGCCTCTCGGGGGTCCGTTGCCCGCCGGCAGCGTCCCCCCGTGAAACACGGGCAGGCCTCCTCCGCCCTCGTCTCGGCGTACACCGTGGGTCGCCTCGACAAGGCGTCCGCGTTTGCATGCGTCCGGCCAGCCCGATACTCGATTTGCAGGTTGTACTCCTGCAACTGCGCCAACCACCGGGCCATCTGCCCCCGCGGCTCCTTGAATGTAAGAAGAAACTGCAGAGCATAATGGTCAGTGCGTACGCGACATCTCCTGCCGTACAAATACGGCCGGAACTGTTTGCATGCGAAAATCACGGCGTACAACTCTTGGCGGGTCACGCAATAGTTCAGCTCGGCCCCACTCAAGGTCCGGCTGGCGTACGCGATGACTCGTTCCGTCCCATCCTGTACCTGTGACAACACCGCGCCCAGCCCGCTGCTGCTGGCGTCGGTGTCCAAAATAAAATCGGTGGTAAAATCGGGGAAAGCGAGGGTGGGGGCGTGGGTGAGGTGGTCTTTGAGAGTGGTGAAGGCCGTCTGGCAGGCCCCCGTCCACTGGTAGGGGTGCTTAGGGGAGGTGAGTTGGGTGAGGGGGCGTGCAATCTCGCTGAATCCCTTTACAAATCGACGATAATAGGTGGCGAGCCCCAAAAATGATCTGATCTCCGTCAGATTCCTTGGCCGTGGCCACTCCACTACGGCGCGTACCTTCTCCGGATCGGTGCGCACGCCTGCCTCGCTGACGCGATGCCCGAGGTACCCCACCTCGCGTTGTGCGATGTAACACTTACGTGGCTTGAGCTTGAGATGAGCCGCTCGCAGTCGCTGGAACACCTCTCGAAGCCTGGACCAATGCTCAGACAAAGATCTACTGAACACTATCACATCGTCCAAGTAAATCAGGCACTGTTCCCACTGCAAGCCCCGCATCACCAACTCCATCAACCGCTGGAACGTCGCGGGCGCGTTAGTGAGTCCGAACGGCAACACGCGAAAC